AATTATACCTCTAGTGTGTGAGAGCTTGTTTGGGTGTTCATAATATGTCAGGTGACAGGTCAAACTGTTTTACGTCTCAAACAACAGTCTGGAAAGAAAAGCTGGTGAACGTGTTTTGCAGGTGATGTGAACTTGTTGATTTGCACATGCACCTGTTCTCTTACCTCTTTTTCTCCTTATTTAGTGAAGCAGAAATTTACACATTTGGATTCAAGTATTAATATAACGACCTTTTTTTGATAACCAAGTCTCTATTAATACAAGCAGGTTTTTGAAATAGCAGATTTTTCCTCCACATCCTTTTAAGCGCAAAGAATTGAAGTTGAGTAAATGACTTTTGACAGGCCACAGTTGGCTTGCATGGCCTGTTACATCTATTTGGCATCTTCAGACAGGGCTTGGAAATAAGGTAAAAGCTGGCATAACCTGTTTGTCAGTGAACTCAAATTGAGATGGCATTAGGTACAGCAGCTTCTCTAACCCATTTAGAAACGGAGCCAACTGATATTTAGTCTTTTGGCTCTTGGACTGGGTGTTAGAAATAAGAGCCCTATGGTTGTTCCCTGAGCTAAATCCAGTCACTGCACATCAGAGCTGGCCGAAGCACCTGCACTGTCAGCACACTGTACTTAAGTCACAAAAGTTGCCTGTATCAACTGCCATTGACCGTACATATGTTGTTGATGGTGGAGTGTGTCACTGTGGTGCCAGAAAGTATCCATGTCAGCAGTCAGGACGGCAAGTCTTTTTTAGCAGCTTTTCTTAGCAAAAGCTCTGCCCATCACCTTTTCGAGTGACCTCTGCTTGATGTGAACCTTGCTGGTATTTTGAGATATTTTAGACGCCACGTTCAAGGCCGGTGACAAACTAGTGATGGCAATTCTGTACAAAGCAGTTTAAATGAAAGGTTTTTCAATATTGCAATGTCAGAGTTTGAGTTATTTAATTTTTATTTATTTAGTCATTTATTAGACGCTTTTATCCAAAGCGACTTACAAATGAGGACAACAGAAGAAATCAACTGTAGTATTAACTAAAAACAGATCCAAAACTAAAAGCTAAAACTTTATAAATACTACCTATACACATTTTAAAAATAAAGAGATTAAATAAAAATGACAAATGCATACAACACAATTTCAAAACTTAACATTTAAATGAAAAACAAAAAATAAAGCTAAAAACAATTCAAAATATTAAAGAACAAAAGGTATATGAGTATAATAATGATTCTAACATAACACTAAGCCAAACACCAAAAAAAAAACTACATATATGTGTGTATGTACAACCACATACACATATATATGTATATATATATATGTACATACACATTTATAAATTCAATATATATATTATTTCATTTCCATTTAGTTTGTTGAAGTATTAAAACAACTCAAATGAAATAAAACTAAAACTTAATAAAAGACCTAAACAGACATAATAAATTCAGACATAAATAAACTAAATTTAAAATAAATAACAAATACAAATAATACAAATCAAACGACAGTAGTTTATCAGCAATCCTAAAAAATAACACTGCCATTGGAATAGTTTTTGAGCACCCAATTAGCATGTTAAATGATTTCTGAATGAAACTAAAGACTGGGATAATGGCTGCTGAATATTCTGCTTTGCCATCACAGGAATAAATGACTTTTTAACATTTGAAAACAGCTTAAATTATGATACGATTTCACAACATTACTGTTTTAGTGTATTTTAGTAAAGCAGCCTTTGTGAGCATGAGACTTCTTTAAAAAAAAAACACAAGAACAACAAATCTGAATTATTCCAAACGTTTGACCCTACACTCTAAAAAATGCTGGGTTGTTTCAACCCAACTTTGGGTCAAATATGGACTAACCCAACTGTTGGGTTACATTTTTACATTACATTTTTAACCCAAAAGTTGGGTTAGTCCATATTTGACCAATAACTCCAATTAAATAAAACTAAAACTTAATAAAAGACCTATACAGACATAATAAATTCAGACATAATGTAACTAAAATTCAAATAAATAACAAATACAAATAATACAAATCAAATGACAGTAGTTTATCAGTAATCCTAAAAAATAACACTGCCAAACTTACATGCTAAAAAACAACAACTTACTTACACATAGTAAGAAATGGTTATAAAAACTGAAACAGAAGTGAAACAAGTAGTAGGAAAGAGGAGAAATAAAAAGCGATACTTATCCTTTGCCGGTGTCCCTGCCCGGTGGAGTCGCACGGTAGAGTCGATGGAGGAGGCGTCACGCGACGGCTGCCGCGGTAAACTAAGCTTTTAACAAAATACTAAATTAATTCTGCTGGACACACTTTCCTTATTTTTTCCACAACAAATGGCCAAGCAAGCGCAGACACTGACAAGATACGCGATACAGTATACATATACATATAGTGACTGTTTTTCCCTTCTATGCAGGTTGGAGGCGGAGGAAGAAGACATCATTTCGAGTTGTCTGCAGGATTTGTGTCTGCGCAGTCTGTCTAAAGAGCCCAGTGTGTCAAGCAATCAGATGATCCCCTGCTGCAGGCGTCTGATGGAGGAGAAATCCCCTCAGATGCAGGGCCTTCATCTCTACATCTCTCACTTCTATTCAGTCATGCAGGATGGGGATCTGTGTATTCCCTGGGACTGGAAGGGCTGAAACACACTGAACTCTATTTGGACTTTATCACTGTGCCTCTCAGGCTCATAGTCGCAATGTTTTGAAGATTTTGAGATTTGGCCTAGTGTATAGGCATTATACATGCACTTTGGATCTAGCACATAGTGTTGTGCTTTTGAGGCCCCAGTCATGTGATGTATGTTATAGCACAAAGTTTGTTGTTTATTTGCACCGCCAACCATATATATATATATATATATATTTTTTTTTTTTAAGTATCATGTCTCCATCTAATATAAAAACAGCTCTTGGAAATTCTGATAAGGCTCTTTTTTGCCTTAAAACGATCAGATGCTAGTTGCACCATATCAGAGATTTATAATGCAGTAATTATAATCATGTTTTGGAAGTTTAATATGCAACTTTGGGTTTTTAAATACACATTTTTGATTGGTTCTGGTTTTCAGAGTGGTGTTGGAATGATGCTCCATTCGAGTGACTGCTTGAGTCGTCTTTATCATTTCAAAAGCCAAATGTTCCTGACTGTCAGGAGATAAACACATTGAATACCTGTAAACTAATACCAACTGCCAAAATCTAAAATGCACAGTCAAAATTCAGATGTGTTTCGACAAAAGATTTTGTCTAAATGCTGAGTATATAAGTATTAAGAATTGGAAAAGTGAAAAGTGTTCTTTGAAAATCTGAAAGTCTTCTCTTCCGGTGTAGTGTTTGTACATTAGCAATCCTAAATGCTAGTCTGTCTTAAGATGTAGTGTACAGTGTATCCATGTTGTTTGCTGCTGTTGTGTTTCAAAGGTTTATACTCTGATATCTATGAATATGAAGAAAATATCAAAACTTTGTAACCACAAAAATGTAAACAATGTTTCAAATGTACCAGTCACTATTGTATACATTAATATGTACCTGTTTGGATTTTCCACTCTAACAGGAATGAATGAATAATGATAATATAATGAAGTGTCGTATATGAAGCTGTATAATACTAATATTATGGCAACACATTGTTTATAGTAGATAAATGTTTTTTTTTCCAAGTTTGTAGTCTACTGGATGATCCATAGTTAGAATAGCCAGGAGGACTATTTTAAAGGAATAATTAGGGTTAATTACAATAATGACGACGTCTATAAAATGCTAATGAAATGAAAAATATGACTCCTTTTTTTGTGTAAGCAAGCATATGCCTAGTGTGTAGTCTTTTCTGTCTCAACAGGTTTTTATCTATTAGTGTGCCATCATACTAGATTAGACCGTAACAAAATCTATATTATCTACACATTCACAAAAAACATCAAAAATGTAATATGCTAATTTATTATTAATGAAATTGTTATTATTATTATCAATGTTGACAGCTGTTTCTCCGCTTAATATTTTTGTGGATGGATATTTTTTTAATGAATAGAAAGTTGAAAAGAACAGTTTTTTTTTTGTATTGTATTTTTTGTATTTTTACTGTATTTTTCATTAAATAAATGCAGACTTGGTGAGCACAAGAGACTCTTTTAAAGCAAGATTTTTTTTTAAATCTTACGTCAAACTTTGACTGGTTGTGCAGATGTCATATTATGCATCTCGAAGCTGAACTTGCAGGCCCCCTCACATTTTTGAGCATTATCTCAGCCCTTTCAAACATTACCTGTGAGTCTGTTCATGCTCTGCCCCCCTCTACTGTCTGCTTTGAGACAGATTTACTCATGCAGGATGGAGACGGGGGCTATCAGCAAGCAGGTCACAGAGCAGTCAGACATATTTGCTTCTCTGTGGGCAGGGAGGATTTTCTTTCTTCTCATTTTACTCATTATACTGTACATCAAAAACCCTGCCTGAAGTCTATAATCAATTATCATTATAATGAAACTACTTGAATATCTACTGGTCAGCCATTGTTGTTGGGGATGTGAACAAATAACTGGTTACATAGCGTAAGTAAGTAAAAGCAATAGCTATTAAATGGTGTTTCTATGCATTCGGCCCTATGTTTTGTTAATGCATCTCAAAGGAAATTGTTTAGGTTACACCATGAACTAAAAGATCCCATTTGCCCTCCTGAGCCACTGTCAGACCATGCAAAATTATATCCATGAGGTGTCATTTATGATTATGTTTGACATCTTCATATACAACCACATCCCATAAGGGTAATAAATGGGTCAGTCAGCCACAGGAACTCTGACAGACATTCTTAATTTCCTTCATGAGTGAACTTTAAGAAACCCCCTCATCAGAATACGAGAAGAACTCTAAAGAGAAGGAGAGAACGCAAATATCTTCTCTGAAGAATCAAACCAACACAAACCAAGATGCTACTGCTATATAAATCTAGTCAACTTTTACAATTAGCGTTTGGATAACTATTAATACTAAATATCTATCATTATGCATCATGTATGTGCCACATTTTTACTAAAGAACATCTTCACTGCATCTTTTTTTTTTTATCTGCCTGAGGTTATAACCTGTAAATGAGTGAAAGACATTCAGTAGTTTTCTCTGTTCATCTGTTCCAGTCACATGACTTCTTCTCTAATCATTCACCATATTTATGACCACCAATGGGGCAAAGTAATGGTGCTAAATACACCAAGAAAAATGCTGATCGTTAACATTGTTCCTTGAATTTAACATAGATGGACTTAGATATTTAACCCACATTCCATCTCTGTAAATGGGAGAGTCTGTCCAAATTAATAATGAACAGATTCTTGCTGGATTGAAAATTATATATATATATATATATATATATATATATATATATATATGTT